CCGCACCCCCCCCCCCCCCCCCCCCCCCCCCCCCCTTCGCTCCAACCACTCACTCTTCCTCCTTCCCGCCGCCGCCGCGCGCCGCGCGCCACGCGCCGCACAGCGAGTATTACATCGGGCTGCTGCAGACCCCGATCGACGAGTCGGTCCGGCACCTGTTTGTGTCGCGGTTGGAGGTGCGCCGCGATGCGCCGGGCTCCCGGCCCTTTTCCCGACGCCCCTGAGATGGCCCCTCCCCCCTCCCCCCCGCGCCTGTTGCTAACCCATCGGGCTACCTGCAGGACATCGATGCCATGCTCCAGCGCTGTTTCTTCCGCCTGCAGATCCTCCCCCCGTCCAATGACCGGGCCGCCGCGCAGGCCGACTACGCCAAGCGCCTGGCCGAAATGGTGGCCGCCTCCGACCAGCCGACCTACTTCCTGACGCCGGACGAGATCAGCACCGCCGGGACGGTGGCCGAGGCGGCCGCGCGCGCGCGGTCCGCCGGTGCACACGGCCTCTCCAAGAAGCGCCGGCTCCTCGAGCAGACCGGCCTGCCGGAGGAGCTGCTGCCGGTGCTGCCGGTGCGTGTCGCCATTCTGTTGTGTTCGCCGGGCGCGCATGGCCACGGCCCTGCCCTCCCTCCTCCTGCATGCCCTGTGTCTGACTTGCCTCGCCCGTCCCCCCCCCCTCCCCTGCCCGGGGCCCATGTTCCGGCTGCCTGCCTGCCTGCCTGCCGTCGTGGCCAGTGCGCCAAGCGTGCCAAGGCCCGGCAGAGCGCCATCCAGGCGGCTTGCGACGCGGTGGCCTCCGGCGGGCAGCTGGAGCATGTCCCCACCTCGGCGGCCCTGGGCCTGGCCGAGGTGCCGCTCATCTTCTTCGACATGGTGCCGGGCTACCTGGCGCTTGGTGGCATCGACCCGGCGCAGACCGTCGACAAGGTGGCTGGCCGGCCGACCGGGGGCAATCTGCCGGTGGTCCCGGCGGCGGCTGTGCCCCCGTCCGCGGCCCCGGTGGCCACTTCGGCGCACGCGCCCATGGAGGTTGTCCGCTCGGAGGAGGAGGATGACGACGATTTCGTCGACGCCGAGGAGGGATCCGACTGGTGAGTGTGCGGTGCTGTGGCGTGGTGTGTGCCCTGCTCCGGCCGCCGGGGCGGGCGCGGCGGCCGTCCTTTGCCGGGCCTCCCCCCCCCCCCGCTCCCCTGCGTGTGCACCTGCGGGTGTTCGCGCACACCCACACCCACACCCACACCCACATACACACACATTTGTACTCGCGCGAACGCAAGCACAGGGGCGAGTGCACGCCGTGCCCCCTCCTGCGTGCGTGGGCGCGCGCGTGTCCGCCGAAGCGCCACCCCCCCTCCCGCTGGCGCATGGCGCGCCATCCCCCGCCGCGGCGGCGCCACCTGCTGCCAACGCATCTAGCCAATATACAGACACCCAGCTTTCCATCCGTTGGTGGGTGAGCGTGCGCGTGCGCGCCCTGCCTCTCCCTGTCTCTGTCCCTGTCTCTCTCTCTCTCTCTCTCTGTCCTGCCCGGCCGCCGGTTGCCGGCTGTTTGGGTCCCGCTCCTGGCGCGCCCCCTTGCCGGTTCCGCTGTGCCGGGGCAGATCGGGCGCCCGATCGCCCTTGGCCCGGGAGGGGGGGGGGGGGGGGGGGGGGGGGGGGGCCCGGCCGGGCTCCGGGCCGGAGTGTGTCGGCCCCGGGCCCGGGAGTGCCGTGGGTAGTCCGGCGCCCCCCTCCGCCGGGTCCCTTCAAGAGGGGCAGATCGCAGGGGTGGGCAGGCGCTGAGCATGACGGCTGGCATGATTTTGTCCTCTGCACACACACGCACACACACACACACACACACACACACACACACGCCCCGCCCGACCTGTGCCTTTTCGTTTGGCACGCCTTGCCAGCTCCTCCGTGCACGCACTTCCACCCTCCCCCGTGCCTCGCTTCTAGCTTCCTCCATCTTCCGTGCCTGCTGCCCTGACCATGGCGCCCGGCGCGCCGTCGCAGCCGCAGCCGCGGTCGCGGTCGCAGCCGCACTCGCAGGCGCAGGCGCAGGCGCAGGCGCAGCCGCACCACCAGCAACAGGCAACCATCGCCACGCTCAGCCCGGAGCAGAAGACCCGGGTGCACGCCCTGTTGACCGGGCTTCGCTGGCTGCGCGACTCGTACTTCTTCCCGTCCGCCCGGGCACCGGGGGGCCTTCTCCTCCGGGGCCCAAGCGACCAGCCGCCCGGGGACGGGTCGGCCGCCGGCCACACGAGCGACCTCTGCTCGCTGCCCGGCCCCGGGCAGGAGACCGAGCACTATGCTGGTGCGCGCCGAAGCCGGCTCTCCCGCCCTCCCCCGCCCCCCACCCCGTGTCTCCCGTGCGACTGACACTTGGCCGGGGTCTTCCCCCCCCCCCCCCCCCCTCCCTGTCGAAAGTGGCCGTGGCCATCCTCCAGGAGGCGCTGTCCCTGCTGGAGAAGTTTCCGAATTTCTTCCCCCACCTGTCGGCCAGTGCGTTGTCCCTCGGTTCCTGGGGCTTCCCCTCCGTGCCTCTCCCTTGCGCCGGTTTTGCGCGCGCGCCCACACCCACACCCACATGCATGTCCTTGTTCTCAGGCCGGATGCTAATCTCCCCAGCGCTCGGCCGCCCCTGGCATGGCCGCAGCCCGGTCGTCCTCGTCGCAGCTTCTGCGCGATCTCCACTGCGGGGCCCTGCTGCTGACGTGCGCGCGGCTGGCTACCACCACGCACCGGCGCCTGACGTGCCGGCACGGGACCCCGGCCGGGGCGTACTTCGCCCCGGACGCCGGGGCCTGCGCACTGGTGTTGCACATTCGCCAGCGGGCCATCCCGGCACCGGCGGCGGCGCCGCTGCCCGGGCTGCCGGCCCCGGGCGCCGCATGCCCCGGCCCCAGCGCCGCGGCCCTGCTCACCCAGGTCCTGGCCACGTCCGGCGATGTGACGGCCCTGGTCCGGCAGCTGACCGATGTGACGGCCTCCTTCGCCACCAGCGACCTGTCCCTCATCGAGGGCATCATGCTGGCCAGCCTGGACTCGCTGCTCAGTATGTTTCCTTTTTTTCCTTTTTTTTTCCTTTTTTTGGCATCCCGCCCCCGGGGCAGGCGTGCCACCGTCTCGTCCCCCCCTGCCCCCCTGCCCCTTCCCGGCCGCCCGCGGCAGTCACACTGACACTGCCCTCGCGCCGCGCAGATCTGGCGACGCTGCCCGTCCAGGTGGACGCCAAGGCCCGGTCCGGCTTGGTGCCCCTGCGCTTTGAGCCCTTCGCCCTGTTGGCCGTCCTGAGCCCGGGCTTCGTCGAGGTGTGTTTCCCTGGCCGTCCCCCGCCCCCGGATCGCGCCTCCTTGCTTCCTGTCCGCCCGCGGGCTCGCCCACTGACAGCGG